CATGTTTGTGGCTCTGGATTGACTCCAGCATCTTCTTACTGAGCTCTGTCCCAAAGTATCTTTTTAAAATTTTATTTAGAGTCAGAGTCTCATTACTTTGTCAAGTTGCCCATGCTGGGCTCAAATTTTGAGATCCTCCTGCCTCAGTCCCAGAGAGCTGGGCTTATAGGCGTGCAGCACCACAGGCAGTGTATTTTTCTGTCTTAGGCATCTACCAGGCCTGGTGTGTCACAGCGTACTCCAGTTTCAGCAACACCAAATCCCAAATCCTGGAGCACTCCAGACACGTTTGTACCTGCCTTAGGCTGTGAGCTAGCTATTCCTTTTGCCTGATGTCTCCCTGGGTCATTTTGTTTTTCCTCTAAAACCATGTGCAAGTGTGCAAGGCTCACAGAGGCAGCCACATCTAGCACATCTGCCCAGTTCCCTCCTCACTACCATTCAGCTCAACTCAGCCCAAAGTCAGTGTAGAGTTGGAAGCCAACCACGCTGTGAAGGATGTGACCTGGGTCCCACAGGCTGAGGGCTCAGGGTCTCAACACCTACCCAGCATTGCAGGTTGATCAGAAGCTTCCATTGTCATCTGCCCTTCTGACCCACAAGCCATCAATCTGTTTGTCCATCCCAGGCCCAGACATGTTAGCCTGGCTCACAGAATATGGGGAGACCCTGCACTTTCTGATGTATTATTTAATAAAGTGCAGGTGAAGAGGTACAGCTGAGAGCACAGTGACATGGTCCAGGGTGAGTCCACGAGGGTCACTGCACAGGCTGGGGTTGCTGTCCCCATGGAGCTGGGTTGGGCCTTTAGCCCCCTGTGGACCCTGAGTGTCTTCTGATGCCCCATCACGTGGGCCTGACTGGCTCCTGACTCCATCTGCAGCCCTGTCCCCCCAGAGGATAGGGAAGACGGGGAACCCCGGCCCATCTTGCTGTGCTCCCTGAGAGTCTCCTCATCATTGAAATATGCTCCTGGTGTCACTGCTCTGTGTGGGGACCTGCTTCAGAGAGAAGGCGACTGCATGAGATGACAGGCACCAGCCTTACCCGCAAGCTGTGTGGAGATAAGGAAAGTTTTTCTTGTTTTTCCCTTTAATATTTTCCTTTGTGTTGGGATCCCATGGTCTAGTATATGTGTAGTCAGGGACCTTTATTATCATATTCTGCATTCATTAGGCTGCTATGGTCACATTTGCTTGCAATTTTACCCTGGATCTCACCACCATTTTTCTCTTCTGCTTTCAGGGCTGTTTGCTCAACTCCTTCGTACTTATTCATGTGGGTCCGTGCTGTGGTGATGATGGAAATAGAACTAAAACAACAGCATGAATGTACGGGCAAGGGCTTTAGTTATGAGTAAGAGAAGATGGTCAGGGTGTTAGCTTGAGTCACTGACAAAGATCAAGTGGGTCCTCTGACAAGGAGAGTAGGAGGAGCCAGGGCAGAGGTTTCCACTGGAGAAAGGCCAGTGGCTGCGGGTGTGAAGACCAGGTCATCCTGGCACATGGGGGTGCTATGGGCTGGGATCCTGCGGATACTCACCTCAATCATGGCTTCTTCAGTCGGGTTGAAATCTTATGATCTGAGGGCCAGTTTGATTTGCATGGGATGAGTGTCTTCTCTTGGGGTGGTCCCAGTCAGAGGAGGCTGTTAACCAAGGTGACCTTCACTTTAGGCCTGGAGATTTTCTCAGCATAGTTGACATCCTGGAAAATGTCTTATCCTGTTGTCCTAAACCTTCAAGCTCTTCGAGCTAAGCTGAGTAGGGTTAGGGTTAAGAAATCTTATTGTGTCAGCTTTTTGACAGCTGTGTCCTGACTGAGAGATGTGCCTCTATGCACAGGTGAGAAGGGCAAGACTCAGAGTCTCACAAAGCAAGGACTCAGCTTTCTCTTCCTTTCTGCCACCTGTTGTGCTTCTGGAGGCCCGAGTGAGGAGTCATCCATTTTAGTAAAAGCCACTTTGTAGTCCTAGACTGTCCCTGAAGAAAACAAGGATCATGGTTTTGCTGAGTCACAAATTAAGAACTGAGGGGTTTGTTTCTTCCCTGTCCCTTGGGTCTCCATATCAGTCTCTTTCTGCTTCCCAAGTATCTCCACAAATCCACTGAAGTACCTGCTTTCCTCTCTCTCTCTCTCTCTCTCTCTCTCTCTCGCTCTCTCTGAGTAATTTCTTCTAACACATCTTGCATTTCACCAATATTCTCTTCAGCTTTGTCCATGCGTCTTATCGCTTTTTGAGAGTTTAAAACCATAGTTTTACAATGATATTTTTAATTTTAAATGTAATGTTTTCTCTTTTATTCAGATTTTCTGTTCATTCCTGAAAGCATGTTGTGAATTCTAGGTCAAATTTGTTCGTACTCCTCTAATGCTCTCTCTTTGTTTTCTTCTTTCCCTCTGGTGTTGCAAGTCACAATGCACATAAAACCGTGCAACTGTGTATGTGTGATGAATCCTTTATGCCACTTTTCTGAATTTAACAGTTACTTACCTGAGCTGTGCTTTATTCTGAATACAACAGTTCTTCTCTTGACTACTTTAAAGCCCAAATCTGCCAATTATCCTGCTCACATGCAGCTCTGATGATTTTCCTGATCCTTCATCCACTCATTTTTGGCTTTCTGGCAGTGTGAACACCTATATCAGAATTGTGAATGAATTTCTCCCACAGATATGTGCTTCTTATTTTGTCCAGAAAGTGTGGCTACCATGACCCTGCGGTGCCCCAGGCCAGCTCCACCCATGTGTGCCAGAATGTCCAGTTCTGCCTTCACTCCTGCCCCAGTCTCCTCCTCCTGGTGGCAGCACCAGCTCCCTGGACAGATGCACTGTCTTGGCTGATCTTCCTCTTGTTCTGATCTTTTGAGCTTGAGGCTCCTGCAGCTTTCCCCTGTCATCAGGTTGCATGATCTAGAACCTACACTGCAAGTTCTTCATTCAGGCCACAGACCCCACACCCAGGGTTTTTGAGTCAACCTTGAGATTTGGAACACCAGGCTCAGAGCCTCAGGCTTTATGCTCCTGATGGTCTAGTCTGGGCTCCCAGCTGCAGTCACAAAAAGTCCAGCCCCAGACTGCACACTGTAGGGTGCATCTGGAAAATGAAACACTAAGTGAGAGACTGGAGGAGGCTCCTGGGGTCCACACGATGAAGTCAGACACCCTCAGAGAGGTAGTGAAGCTCTGGACATGCCTTCCTATGGATGTCACCTACACTTGTCACAGAGATGTGCACATTGTTTATGACAGAGAGTATCTGTATTGTTCAGTTGTGCATTTATATGGATAGAAGTCATGTGGCTATGTTAACACTGTTTTTTAACTCTTCTATAGCCTCATTCTGTTAACAACTGTGGTTGCATATGTACTGCAGAATTTACTACCAGTGATGTTTACTATGTTCATGATACGGAACAACCATCGTCATTGTTCATTTCATGACAGTTTAGTCATCCCTAAAGGAAACCCTGTTCAGATCAGGTGTCACCCCATTCTCTTGTCCTCCCAGTGCCAGGAAATGATGAATCTGCTGTCCCCATGGATTTGCCAGTCTGGATAGTCCATATTGATGGAATCTACAACATGTGGCTTTTCATGGGTGATTGTTTTCACGTAATACCATGTGCTGAAGGCTTGATCTGTGTTCAGTGTTTCATTCTTTTTTATGAATGTTGCTGAATATTCCATTGTATGATGATGTCACAATTATTGATCTAATTTCCTGGTTTGGGCTGTGGGGTTGTTTCAGTATTACCATGGAAAAGACTCCCATGAACGTTACATGTATATATTCTATGTAGGTTAAGCCTTATAGCACATACATCATGTATACAGCATATAAGTTCTTATATTTTCATATTTACTCAGGAGTGTGATTTCTGGGCAATGGGGACCCATATCTTCTTTATTCCCAATTGCCGATCTGGGAGACTAACCTTACATGACTTTGTAAATGTCTCCACTTCTTGCCTCTCATATTCAGGTCTTCTATGCACTTGATTCCTGCAGTAGTATCAGGAGTAGTCTACCAGCCCAGCATCATGTATTTCTGCATGAATATACAATTATCCAACAAGAGTATTTGCCATGCAAGGAAGCATTTGGAAGGCTGTTGTAGACAGCCCATGCTACTTAAATAGTTGCAGCAGGTCTGTGAGTGGCCCAAATCTGTGCCTGCTGATTGGTTGAAATTGAGTTCTATGATTGGTCCAGATTTGACCCAGCTGATTGCTGTGAATTCAAGCCTTCCAATCTCTCCAAATTGAGGCCCATGATTGGCCCAAATTTGGGCTTGTTGATGGCTCCAAATTGGTCCTCATTCCAGTCCCTGATCTGAGAACACTTCTTGGTCCCAATTCAGTTTTACTGCTAAGTTTAAATTCAAGGTTAAGGTGGTGAGATTAGATACATGCTGGACTGGTTCAGGCACACACAGTCATTGCGGCTGTCCTGGTGGCAGTTCCAGGTTACATCAAGCGCAGATGCTGCAGCTGGGTTCACAGGTGCCACGTCTCCACAAGTATGGCCAGGAGAATACTGTTCAACATGCATTAGGGCTCGCTGTGTCCTCAACTTATTGAGGGCCAGGGATAACGGGCCTGAGCCCACTGATCCCTTCCTCAGGAGAGGTGGTTTCCTGGCACTTCTTCAGAGGTGGCAGCAGCATTTGGGGAGGTGGGAGTGGGACAGTGGCATTGTGGGTGACAACCTTGTGGCACCTTGTGTCATGCTGGCCCAGAGAGCAGCTATGAAGTAACCTTCGAGTTGACAGCAGCACACGGAGGCAGGCGGTCTCGGTGCACCCAGGGGGACCAAGGGGGAGCAAAGGGAAACAAGGGAGCATGGGAGGACGGCTGTTGGCCAGGCCCTTTTCTGGCCATCAGGGGAGAAGGAGGAGAGGCAGGGGCTTCTCCTTTCTCTCACCACTCGAGAACTGTGCACATTTATAAACCCCGGCATGGCTACCCCAGGGAGTCTGGATGGAAGCCTGCTGCACTACAGAACTGTGCCACTCTGTCCTCTGTGCCCAGTGTGGGAAAGCCAGGCTGGACATATTCTGTTGATGCCCAAGCCCACTGGAGGCGAGGTCTGTCATTCCCGTGCCCCGTGTGTTCCACCCCGGCCTGAGGCCTCAGCCTCCCTCCCTGAGCTCTGCCTCACTCCTCACTCTCCCTACCTTGGTTGCATCCTCTCTCGGTTCCTCTTTGCTGAGCTCGGCCATACCCTGTTCAGGGCACCTACGTGTCTGTTGGTACCTGTGTCTGTCTCTCTCTCCCTCTGCCACTCTCATTAGCTGGGTTCCCCTCCCCTGTCCTTGGCCCTCACTTTTCAAACGTGGCTGGAATGTTCCTCCTGCCTCCCTCTCCACCCCGCTGCTGAACTTTTTGTCTCACATCTCTGTCCCCACAGGCCCAGGAATGAGCATTCTATCACACAACTCATCCTGCTCTGCAGCATCCTGGGGAGCAAAGAGAGGAGAAAGGAAAGTATGAGCATTGTTTGCGTCAGAATCTCCAAATGTATTATCTTCCCTTACTCAGCGCAGGGCACCATGATGCCCCTGCTCTATTTCCCACAGCCAAGCACGTGGATTGTGCTGTTTGACATCACAGAAGCTGAGGTGCGAGTGTGCACATGCATGTGCATGAATGTGTGTGAAACTGTGAGTGTGTGCCATTCTCATGTGTATTCATTTGTGCCAGGAGATCTGACCCTTTTGTATTTTGCATAGTTTTAAATGTTTGACTTGTATTTCTTTATCAACCACATTTTTAGCTCACTAATTTTTTATTGGTATATGTCTGCAATAGAAATAATGACATTAGTTTTGTGGAGATGGCACCTGTGTGTGTGTGTTTGTGTGTGTATGTGTAATTTTTCACCTTCTTTCTCTTTCTCTCTCCTCACCCTCATGTGCTGTCTCCCCTCTATTGTCTATTATCTCTCATTTATCATCACCCCAGAAGTTAGTGCTTTAGCTGTATTCTTTCTGTTTTCAAGTCATTGTATTCTTTTTAAATAATAACATTTTTAGAAATATTTTTATATTCATGAACTGCAAATGGTTCTTTTTGCGTACTGAATGTCTCTGCTCTCTTTGTATTTGCCCAACACATCTTTGTGAGGACAGTTTGTATTCTTAAAGGTTTTGCTTCTACTTTTTGTCAGTTCTCCTCCTTCTAGCACAACTTGTCTTGTTCCTCCTCCTTCTCCTCATGCCTCCATTCCTCTGATCTGACCCAGCTTATGCCTGCGGGTCATATCTACCCCTATGTTACCTTCAGCTTTCTCAAACACTGTCACTACTGCGAGCGGTTAAATGCTAGATTCTCACTTGATCCACTTGTCCTGGTCCCTGAAGCATCATTGCAGCCATTCTGAACTCATAACTTTAGGCACAGAACTTGTCCCTGGGTAGCTGTTTGCCATGTAATTAGGAGCAAGTACATTGGTATCCCTACCACATAGCAGCTGTCCCAGGAACACAAGGATGTCACAACATCTTAAAGTACGTAGCACCTTTTTGCACTTGATAACTCCACTTTCAGTCTTAATAAAACTAAACAAGAAAGGCATATTTCATCTCAATATATTGGTATAGAAGATTCAATGAAATTCAACAGCTATTTATAACACATGGAGCCTAAGAACAGGTTTGGAAGGTGCTGTTGAATTCTTGGTGGTAGCACCACCCATGGTTATGAGGTCCTCATAGTTTTCCTTATCCACTGTTTGAATTTGCAGAGGTTGGTGTAGATGCCTGGAACTCCAGGTCGGCCACAGGGAGGGTGTCCCCAGGAGACAAGGCCCTGCAGGACCCCATTGCAGACCAGGGGGCCTCCAGAGTCTGACTGTTGAGGGAAGAGAAGAGCAAGTTAGGGCGGGTGTTGAGGAGGATGGAGGGAGACACACACAGGAAGCCAGAAGCACAAAGAGGCAAAGGCAGAGGGAGAGATCAGGAGAAACACACAGGACAGTAACTGGAGGGCAGCATTGAGATCTGGAGAGAGAAGCAGCACAGATAGAGCCAGCAGGGCCCAGAGACACTTGCGGTAGAGAAGGCAGAGGTGATGGGGAGGCAAACCGAGACCCTGGTGAAACCCCAAGACAGAGAAGACACAGAGACCCGAAGGCCAACTGCAGGGACCTGCCTTTAAGAAACCAAGCACTCAAACCATAGCTTGTAGGCAGGCAAGGACCGTCCTGCCTCTGAACCGCCAACTCTCCCTCCCAGGCCTTGGAAAGTTCCCCTGAGGAGCTCCACCCCTGCCTGCATCTCCTTTTCCAGCCTTGGCTGAGTTTCACTTGGAGGGTGAGAGTGGGCATGGACTTGGGGGCTGGGGAGCTGTTGGCATTGAGTATGGAGTTGTGCGAGGCAGTGGGGCTGTGGATCCTGAATGCAGTGAACCAGTCTGTTCTTACAGCTGTGCTCCTTCTCCCTGGACCATCCCAGTGTCCCTCCCGGGCGTCTCTCCATCCCTCCTCTCAACATCTGGACTCTGCATCTCTCTGCCAGCTGCTTACTTCCATCTGGCTCTCCATGCCTGTCTCTATGGCTGCTTTACCCTGTGTCTCCTTGTTGTCTTTCTTACATCCCAGGGCCTTCTCTCTGTTTCTTTTTGGATCTGTGTCTCCCTGAGGCTCTCTGAGTCCCCTCATTCCTGCATGACCTTATGTGTTCTGTGGGTTTTGCACCCCATCTCCACTTTAAATCCCTGTGTCCCTGTCCCAGTCTCTTACCGGGCAAGAGTCCCTGTGGTCCAAACCACCAGCGCAGAACATACTGTCACCATAGGATTTCGGATACACAGCTTTACAGCACTCTTCTGATACTATTGGAATATACGCACACTGCAGAGTCTCAGGGAACTGGCCTGAAAGAAAAGACACAGGGTCAGAAACACTCCTGGGCAGACAGCCACAGGTATTTGTGAGTCCAGAGATAGGGACAACAAAACTCACCATCCAATAGGCGACCCCAGCCAGAAATGGAGCACACGGTTCCAGTTTCCGGACATTTGGTGGCAACGTGGATGGGCTGGATGGTCTCTGATAACTCAACAGGTTTGCTCAGCTTGACAAGCATGAGATCATAGTCTCTCCAAGGTGGGGTGTAGTATGGGTGCTGCACGGAGAAATTGGCCTCAATCATCTGGCTGCCTGGTTCATCCCATTGTTGAATTCTGTGCAGGCCCAGCCGAACGGTGTAGGACCTGAGGGCAGTGAAAGTCAGTACCATAGTAACAAATCCTTTCTTCAGGCCAAACTCCAGTGCAGGCCCACATCCCATACTAGCCTCTCCCTGGACTCATCCTCAATGTCAGTCCTTTTGGAGACCACTAGAAAGTGGCTCTGAGCAGAATTTCATATTCACCAATTGGCTTTCCATGTTTACTGGTGAGTTGTCTGAAGCTTAGGAACCCTGTCTGGGGATGGGCAGTGGACTCATAGTAAGTAAACCTCTATGAGTCACTGGTCAGCGCTGAGGCCTGTATTGGCCTGTGCAGCTGTGACTCCTCCAAGGACAAGATAAGGGCCACAGCTGAGGACGTTTGGCTCCAAAACAATTAACTGCAAGGGGCCTGCAGCTGCAGGCTCCACACTCCTACAATAAACACCAACCTAAACAAGGTAGTTCTCCTGATTGACATAATTTACTATTGGGAAAATTCCCCCAAGGTCCTGCTAGATTTCCATGTTTTTAGAGCATCCTCCTCCTTTGTTTGAAAACCAAATAAATTCGGGCTGCCCAGAGAAGTTTTTTTCTAAACCCAGAGAATATCTAAGGTGTAAGAGAGTTAGATCCTCCTGGGGCCCTGAAATCATTTCAGTTATCTCATTTATTTAAGACTTCTCTGACCACTTGCTTGGGAGATTGCGGGCCTGATCAACCTGCAAAAACTAAGGTTTTTTTAACGTGATAAGGTCCATCCCCATTCCCATCCCAACTTCCACCCCGCCCAGACCCATCCCTTGTGCTAGCCTCATCCTCACATTGACAGCATCCAAATCCCATTCTCATCCCCACCCCTAACTTCACCCCAGATCCCATCTATTAGGGTTGAGGTAAGAGAAGCATTGTCTAAGGTGTTAATTGAGGGAGCCACTAAGGTAGAATAAGCAACATGAATAGTGGTTCAGTGTAATAGTTTAAAATTCAAAATTAATGCAACCTATCCTCGATGCAAACATATCAGAAATTGAAGGAAAGGCAGCATTTGAAATGCACTTTGCCCTTGCCCCACACCAGCAGGATCCTGTTTATTTCAAATGTGGATATTTTGTTCATCATGGATGATTGCATTGTATTAATTTGTTTAAAATAAGGCATTAAGTAATTTCTCCTGATGGGTGAGCTTTTGCCTCTTCTCTTCCTATACCCTGAGCTGCAGCCAAGTGCATACCTCTGTCCCCATCCACCTGGCTCTGTCCTCACCTGTCTCCCTCGCCTTGCCCCAGGGCCCTTACACCTGGTGACAAGAGGTCCCTTCTCCACACTATCTGGCTCCTAGAGGCTGAATGAGATCCAAGCCTGCCTCTCTCAAGCCATCTCCTCCTCTACACTTTCATACCCGGGTCAATCCCAGGGTGCACGAGGTTACTCTTCCAAGCAAAGACGTGACTGCTCCTCTAGCCTGGGGAAGTGGATCTCCCAGCCAGGCCAAACCTTGACTGTAGCTCCAGCCTTGCTCCTGGCCTAGTGCTTCAAAGTCTCAGCCCTGGTCATGTACAGCCTCTGGTGCTAGAGCTCACTCCTTGGTGCAGCCACTCTGCAGTGTTGGAACCCCACCGTGGGCCAAGACTCGCCCTCTCTGCTCAAACCCACCCTGGGCCCTGCCCCTCACTGCAGTGCAGTTTCAGACCCTAAGCCCTGCCCACCACGCCCCATCCAAGAGAAGACCCAACCTGGCCCACCCTGTGTAGCCCTCTCCCTGCAGCCCACAGTCACCACCATCTGCACTTGCTCACCTCCTCCAGCAGTGTGCAGCTGACAGCACCCACTGCCGACGCACCAGGACTCCGGAGCAGTGCAGATAGCCATTGTAGAACAGGGCCACCTGCCAGGGCCGTGAGTGTGGAATGCACTCACAGCCATCAGAGACGCGTTTTCTGATCTGGTGCAGGTGTTCACCGAAGTGACTGCAGTGTTCGTTGGGAGGAATCTCAGCTTCTGCGGGCAGGATGAGCACACAGTGGATCCAGTGGGTGGGTGGGGTCTGGTGGGATCCAGTAATGGATCCGGTAGGGGATGGGAGGATCAGGGTTACGAAAGCATGGGTTATATCAGGAGGGACAAGCAGGGACAAGGTCTCGGCTCCACCTCTGGGACTCAAACAGGACAGTTCCAAGGCCAGAACCCTCCTCTGAGCCTGAGGCTTCATGCTGTGTTCCACCACCTGGGTGGCATAGACCCAGTGTCACCACACAGGCGCCCTTCCCCAGGAGGAATCTCTGTGCCAAGCAGAGGACAGAGGCCACTGCACCTCGGATTCTGTCTGCTGGACACACAGAGTGGACAGACAGGCACCGAGAAGAGTCCCTCAGGGAACACTTGTAATCCTGCCTGGACCCCAGCCTTCTGCAGGGCCACCTCGCCAGGGGCTCAGGAGTGGTGACCGCCACAGGGAAGGGAGCAGCTGCCACACATCTCTGCCAGCTGGGGCAGGAGGCCCATGTACAGTGCTGTCCCTCTGCTAATTACAGCTAACATCTGGATACTCCCCTATGGGCTGAAGTCTGGGGAGGATGTGGGTTTATACTATAGTATAAACTATATACAGCTTTTAAATTACTGTGGGAGGTGGGGATACTGAGGCACACAGACATTAGAACTTTGCCAGGTAAGAAGTAGCAGAGCTGGGCTCTGAATCTAGTCGCTGTCTCTCTACAAGCTGTGTTTCTACCCTGGTGCCATGCAGACCCCCAGGGGTCCTATGGGTGGGGCAGAATTGCACATTTTGGGTGCTCACAGGTTAGCACACACCCCAAACTCAGATACCTGCAGCTGTGTAGATGATGCATCCCAGGAAACAGAGCCAGAGGACTTCTGCTGTGGGCCCCATGTCAGCACCTGTGGGGGAGAAGACCCTGTATGTAACTCCTGGGCCTCCCACACCATTCCAGGAGCAGTTAGAAAGGACCCAGTGGAGCCTAGACTCCGAAATCCTGGCTGAGGATCACTAACAGAGGGCAGAGTTTTCCACCCTGTACCCTGCTGATATTTATCCATGCTGTGCTGGGGATGGACACAGGACACCCCTGTTCCCCAAGACACAGAGCCATCCCTTTGCACGCTGATGACTGGTGGCTGGTGAGCCTTTGTGCAGGGCTCTGCCTTCTGTACTGTAGGGTGTTTTATACCCTGTGCCAGCTGCTGTGCGTCCTCCCCTGTAGGGACAAGCAAAAAGCCCATTCATCATCCAGGTCCTGGGAGAAGACAGTGTGAGCTCTGCCTGTGAGGACAGAGGAGGCAGGGAGACTGAGAAACGAGGGGCAGTTAGGGACAGAGTCAGAGACGCTGAGACTGAGGCTGAACCCTGGAGCAGGGAAGATGGGGCCCAGATACAGAAGTCTCATGGTCATGAAGCTGAAAGAAACTGAGGCGGAAATCAAGGTACTCTCAGCGCAGTTTCAGGCGCAGCACTGTGCCAGGCATCACATGAACATGAGACACGCAGTGACTCAGTTTCATAGCCATCTCCGGTGCCAGGTCCTGATATGATCCCTATTCCACGGAGGGTGCAGACACAGACAGGCTGAGTAACCAGTGGAGAGGGCACTAGAGTCTGTGCTCTTAAAACCTCACTGGGACTGGGCACGGTGGCACTGCCTGTAATCCCAGTGCTCTGGAGGCAGGAGGATCTCAAAGCCCTGGCTGTACTCTGAGTCAAAGCGATGCTGGAAGGCGGAGAGGGAGACACACACCCAGAGGGACAGAGACAAGAAAGTGGCAGAAATTCAAAGGGTGGAAAGTACAGAGCAAGCCTTGTGCTGGGAGACTGCAGGGTTGTTCACCTGGCTTCAGCTCCTGGGGCTCAGGGCTCGGCTGTCCTGTGTGGGCTGTGATCTGTGGGCTGCTGACTCTCAGAGCCTTGGTAGGTCTTATAAGGATTGGGATGGGGGCTGGCCTGCCCTAGGGTTGCTGGAACATTAGAGCCTGAAGGCAGAAATATTAGAGTCCCAACCTGTCACCTCTCTGGATGCATGGCCCGTGGTTGTCCTGATTCCAATCTGATGAGGGCCCAGGGAGCAGGTCTCTGGGCCATGAGGAAGGAGGGAAGTGTAGGGTGGGACCCTGCAGGAGGGGCTGCCTTTGTCCAGTCTCTCAACCTCTCTGTCTCTCAGTTCTGATGCCTCCAATCCACTGCTCTTTGCTTCCCTTACCCTTCTTATCTCATGAACTTTCTGGTTTGGATTCTTTGCCTTGAAACTCTTTCCTGTATTTTAAATCTACATTAAATTAAGCAAACTTACATGGAATGAAGACAATCTGTGTCTCTCTGTGTGTGTGGCCCTGGATGGAGTTCAGCATCTTTTAACTGAGCTCCATCCCAAGCATCTTTGTTAAATTTGAGGGTCAAAGTTTCATTACTTCATCAACTTGCCCATGCTGGGCTCAAACTTGAGATCCTCCTGCCTCAGGTTCCCAGAGTGCTGGGCTTACAGGTGTGCAGCACCACAGCCAGTGTATTTTTCTCTCCTAGGCATCTACCAGGCCTGGTGTGGCACACCGTACTCCAATTTCAGCCACATCAAATCCCAAATGTTTGAACACCCCAGGCAGGTTGGTACCAGCCTTAGGCTGTGAGCTAGCTATTCCTTTTGCCTGATGTCTCCCTGGGTCATTTTCTTTCTCCTCTAAAACCATGTGCAAGTGTGCAGGGCTCCCAGTGGCAGCCACATCTCACACACCCGCTGAGCCCCTCCTCAGTTCCATTGATCTCAACTCAGTCCCAGCTCAGTGCAGAGTTGGAAGCGGAGCGCGCTGTGAAGAATGTGACCCGGACCCTGCAGGCGGAGGGCTCAGGGCCTCAACACTGGCCCAGCCTGGCAGGCTGATTAGAAGCCCCCATTGTCACCTGCCCTTCTGACCTGTGAGCCAAAAATGTGTTTCTCCATCTCAGGCCCAGGCATCTGTTAGCTTGGCTCACAGAACATGGGGAGACTCTGGTACTTTCTGGTGCATTATTTAATAAAGGACAGGTGAGAAGGT